CCTTGCCCTCACACAGTGCTTCAAAAGTGAATTAATTCAGGATATTTAGGTTACATTTTAATGTCATCATTTATTTGTTCCAGCTTCTGTTGTTGCTTTCTTTTTTGAGGTTTTTCTGTATTTTATTTTGCTGTTGTTGGGATTTTTTTGTTTGTTTGTTTTAGGTATGCATCTCTTTACATGTAATCCAGGATAGGTACCATATATACTTGAGTATAAGCTGACCCAAATATCAGCCAAGGCACCTAATTTTACCACAACAACAGCATAAAAAATGTGCTGGAAAACATGGCTTATACATGAGTATATATGGTAACTCTATAGATAAAATCACTATAGATTAATAGTTTCCTAGGAGTGTAGCACAGGATGTTAGGGAGCTGATCACAATTGAGATACAAGAATGAGGAAAACAAAGTCCTAAAATTTCTGTGGTGAATATTGCACAACTCTTTTTAATATATTGGAACCATTGAACTGCATAATAAGTGAATTATATGTCAATAAAACTTTTATGTCAAAAATAAAATAAAATGAACTTGAGAAGAAAATTAACTGGATTAAGAAATAAGAGAGCAGTAAATACAAATTAAAGTAAGTCAAACATAATGCTACAGTGAAAACTATTAAAATGTGAAGCTACTGTTTGTGGCTTCTAGGTCGAGACACTACTGAAGGTGATGTTTCCATTTCAGTAGTCCTTTCCCGAAAGACAGCTGCACTCTTCGATTTCCACCACATCAAAACAACAAGCTTGTCATCCTTGAGTGATTCAGATTGTGTCCTTTGAGTTTGTGGAACAAAATGAACTCTGAAGGGGCTAGGTCAGGGCTCTCAGGGGGACAGAGAGCCCTGGTCAAGGTTTCCTAACAAATTCCTCAAAGGAAAGGCCTTGGAGATGCCTTGCCATGATGGGAAAAAAGTTCCTTGGCATAACATTCCTTAACTATTTCTCACCAATGCAATTTTCAAATTTGAACCTTTTTTCCTTCACGACAACCCCAATGATTGCCCTATGTACGTCAAGAAAATTCATTAGTATTATCCCTTTGGAATAGACAGCCAACATAACCTTCTGAGCTGCCTCTCTACCTTGAATTTGGTTTTTAAAGATCATTTTATTGGGGGCTGTTACAGCTCTTATAATAATCCATACATCAATTGCATCAAGCATATTTGTACGTATGTTTCCTTCATCATTTTCTTTTTTTAAAAAATCATTTTATTGGGAGCTCTTACAGCTCTTATCACAATGCATACATCCATTGTATCAAGCACATTGATACATTTGTTGTCATCCTCATTTTCAAAACATTTCTTTCTACTTTGAACCCTTGGTATCAGCTCCTCATTTTCCCCCCTCTGCCCCCCTCCCTCCCTTCCTCACTAATCTTTGATAATTTATAAATTATTATTATTTCTACCTTGAATTTAAGTGACTGAGGTAGCTAGTTTCTTGTGCCAACCTGGCCAGTAAACATGTGGGGTTAATTGAAGGGCAGAGGGATAAATGGCTCAGTGAGCCTTGCCTTTTGAGTTCTCAGGTCTCTTGCTTTCTGATGGTCGGACCAGGGTGCAGCTGCCTTAGCCAGTTCCCTGATTCAGCTGGCAAGGCTCATTTCCTGCAAGACATCCCTGAGGAGAAGCCATATGGACCTACTCCGATGCAGCTCTGGGTGCTGGAGCAGCCGTGTGGAGGCCCCTGCCAGCACTGAGATGTTTACACGCTCACTGACCCAGCTTTCCTCCTGCAGTCGGCATCATTGCGTGTGTTTTGTGAGGAGGAGGAGGACTTTGTGGATTGGTGTTGGACATATGGGTTAATGGGTTAATGTTGGATTGCGGGCTTGGGCAGCACTGGGTTGGGATGTTGTCTTGATGCACACTTACCCTTTATATAAAACTCTCTCTTATACATGAGTTTCTGGGGATTTGTTTCTCAAAGTACCCAGACTAATACAAGTGGCCAAGCATATCTCCTTGGAAGCAAGCGACTGTTATGTCTGGACCATTTTTGGAAGTCACCCTAATGAAACTAACTCACTTCTATCAAGTTGACGCCAGCCCATAGCAAACCTATCGACAGGGTAGAACTGCCCCCTGAGCCTCTGAGACTGTAACTCTTTATGGAAGTAGAAAGCCTCATGTTTCTCCTGAGGAGCAAGTGGTGGTTTAGAACTGCTGACTTTCTGGTTAGCAGCCCAACTTATAACCACTATGTCACCAGGGTGCCTTACTAAGACAAGTGAATTGATGAGAGAAGTTGTCGGCAGACATTGCAGACACATTTTCTTTGGAATAAACCCAGGCTTGTATGAACTGAAACCCTAACAGGAATACTTTTGATTACCTTTGGATAGCATTTAAATAGCCTTATACTGGATTCTCTAGAGAAGAAAAACCAGTGAAGCATATGTATATATGTCTGTGTGTGTACATATGTATATATTTACTTTTAAATCAAGAAACTGGCTAGCACAGTTGTTAAAGCGGCAAGTCCAAATCTAGGCAGTTTCCAAGTATATGGGTCAGGTGTTAGCTGGAGACTGCTCATGGTTTGCATAGCTTCAGGAGCTGATGGCCCCACCTTGGTAGGAAGACGACAGGCTGATGGCTACAGAAGAAAATGAATCTGAGGTCAGCAAGTCAGGCTTGTGAGTGCGGTGCCAAATGAATCTAAGATCAAAAGGTCAGATGACAGGTCACTGACAACTCCTGGGATCAGCAGGCAATATGGCAGGCTATTGTCTCAAATCTAAAGACGCGTAGGTCAGTGGGCCAGATGCATAATAGAGACCCAGCAAATGGCAAGCAAGTTTTTCCACAGCGTCCACTTTTATTGGAAGCAGCCCACACACTAGAAGAAATCTCCTTTCAATTCACTGTATCAGGATTTGATAAGGGTGTTGCATCTCACTCCAATCTAGCAGTTCTCAACCTGTGGGTCGCGACCCCTTTGGGGGTTGAACAACCCTTTCACGGGTTGCCTAAGACCATCGGAAAACACATATTTCTGATGGTCTTAGGAACCGAGACACTGCTCTATTATCTGTCTCCAGGCAGGTCTGCCCACATGCAGATACACCCACATATAAGTACCCGGCATGAAGATTATTTGTTACCCATGCTACACCATGCTTCAAGACAAAATTTCATTTATTTGTCGTTGGAAATAAATATTTCACAATCTACAATTACATATTGTTTTGTGATGAATCACTATGCTTTAATTATGTTCAATTTGTAACAATGAAAATACATCCTGCATATCAGATATTAACATGACAATTTATAACAGTAACAAAATGACAGTTATGAAGTTTCAACGAAAATAATGTTATGGTTGGGCGTCACCACAACATGAGGAACTGTATTAAAGGGTCGAGGCATTAGGAAGGTTGAGAACCACTGCTCTAACCTTTTTACAACTGACTGGCCACCCCTAGCAGATCCCACTATAGAGGAGATTCCACTGTGTTAGGTCACATTATGAGCTCTTACTGGCCCAGTCACTAAGAATCCTGACCCGGCCAAATGGATATAACACCAAACGATCACAATAATGTAGGGAGCCCAGGTGGTGTAGTGGTTGCATGTTGGGCTGTGATTCACAAGATTGGCAATTCAAAACCACCAGTGGTTCCTTGGGGAAAAGATGGGGCTTTCTACTCCTATACAAAGTTACAGTCTTGGCAATCCACAGGGGGGCATTTCTACCCTCTCCTACAAGGTCACTCTGAGTCTGCGTCGACTCTGTGGCACTGAGTGTGGTTTGAGCAATCGCAGTAATGTATATGGGGAACGATCAATGAATGCGACATGTGTAATAACGTGCCCAGGCTCACATCATCCATCCTGGGCATAGTTTTAAACTAGGTGCTGTTGAGCGGATTCCAACTCATGGGTGCCCATGTGATGTCAGAATAGAACTGTGCTCGGTAAGGTTTTCAGTGGCTTAGTTCTTGTAAGTAGATCATCAGACCTTTCGTTTGAGGGGTTCCTGGGTGGACTCAAACTTCCAACTTCTCGGTTAGCAAGCTAACTTTCACTGCTTGGCACCCAGTGTCGTGGAGTAGATGCCCACTCCTGTTCAGCCTATAATACACAAGACAGTAGCTCCTTAGAGTTTCTGAGGCTGTACATTTTTACAGGAGTGAGTAGCCTCGTCTTTCTCCCACAACAAGGCTGATGAGTTTGAAATGCTGACTTGGTAACTACCAACCCTATCCATCACCCACTAAGCCACCAGGGCTTCATAACCTTTATAACAAGCATAGTCATAGTACCTAGGTACTGTGTATTAAAATCGACAGAAACCATTCAGGACCAAAAGGCAACTCTATTAACTTTATTTTTGCTGCTGTACCGCATCACCACAAGCATATTGACTGTACACAATACAACTATATTCTCCCACGGTTCCAGAGGTCCAACGTCAGAAATAAGTTGCCCTGAGCTAAAATAAAGTGTGTCGGCAGAGCTGGGGCCTTCCAAGTAGTGTTCCTTCTCTTGCCTTTTTCTGCTTCTAGAGGCTGGCTGCATGCCTTGGCTCGTGGCCTCTTCCTTGCATTGCTCCATCACATCTCAGGCTACTCACTCTGATCTCCAGCCTCCCTCTGGGAAGAATGGTGAGGTGATCACATTGACTCATCCAGATCAATCAAAGTGAAGAGCCTTGATTGAATCACATTTACAAAGTCTCTCTGGCTATGTGAGGTGCCATTTACAAGTTCCTGGACCTCTCTGGGGACTGCTATTCAGCCTATCACAGGAGGCATGGCCACTCTCAGCTGAGCCAGTTTTCTTTTGCCTCTCCTCTGAGGTCAGCTGGCTGGATGGAGGTGGAAGGACACAGGTGATCCTGCAATTACCCTGCAAAGTGTCAGTGTCCTCGGGCAGGTCTTCGCTGCCTCCACCTGGTGGTCAGGTATGTGCCCTGGGGCCACTTCAACCACTGGTCAATCAGCCACCCTAAATTCTGCCTTCTTTCTCCCTTTTAGCATCCTGAGTGCCTGGAGGTCACAGTGTCAGCAAGCTGAGAGGCAAACAAAGGCAAGATGTCAGGCCGGAGTGGGAAGAAGAAAATGTCCAAGCTGTCCCGTTCAGCCAGGGCGGGCGTCATCTTCCCCGTGGGGAGGCTGATGCGCTACCTGAAGAAAGGGACCTTCAAGTACCGGATCAGCGTGGGGGCCCCCGTCTACATGGCAGCTGTCATTGAGTACCTGGCAGGTAACGCGAACACACCTTGGTGGTTGGGACATGAGCTCAGAAGTAGGGCCAGCATCCAGCACCCTCCTGGCCCTGGGCAATAGCAGGCAGGTGAAGGTGGCGTGGGCAGGCCTTGTCTGTGTGCTTTCCTGCCCTTTCAAGTTTCCGTCCCCACACCTCAGACTGGAGTTGGGAAAACAGGCTTGGAGTCTTTCAAAGCTGGCTGAATCAATCGATGGGCTCCGTTCCCTTGAGCTAACAACTTCAGCTCTCTGTGCCTTTGGATATTTCCAGAGCAACCTTATGCCCTTGGTTAACAGATCAAATGTATGTAAAATGCCCAGGGCAAAGGATGCATTCAATCAATGGTCATCCATCTCATCTTCCTTCCCTTAAGAACTGAGAAGATTATTCAGGGCAAAGTATAAATGACTAATCCGGTGAAGGTGGTGAGTCTTCAAGCTGTATTTGCATTTTAATGAGACACAGAGTCAAGCCAATGGAATGAATCATGACTGGTGCAATTGAATGGCCACTGCGAATAAGTAAAAGGGGCCCTGGTGGCACAGTGATTAAGCAAACCAAAAGGTCAGGGTTCAAACCCTCCAGTCGCTCTGTGTAGCAAAATGTGGCAGTCTGCTTTCTAGAGGTGGACAGCCTTGAAAGCCCTGTGGAGCAGTTCACACCGTCTGGTTGAGTCTCTAGGAGTCAGAATGTGTCCCCAGGCAGGGCAGCGGCCAGGGTGGGGTGGGGGTGGGGGGCTTGGATCGGTGAAAGGGTCGGCATGTTTGTAAGTTTGGGGTGGCTGTTAGTATTTTCTTTGGGTCGTGTTTAAGTGGAAGCTTCCTGTCATCCTTGAAATGACTTTCAACATTCATGAAGCCTCCTTTGGGTCAAGCCTGGAAGATGGAGCAGAAAACAACCCTGCTAATCCCAGTTCAAACACACCAACCACTCGTAGGGAGAAAAATGAGGCTGTCGGCTCATAAAGATTTCCTATATAGGTTCTTGAAAAACCTATATAGGGTAGCTATGCATTGGAATTAATTCAAAGGCAGTGAGTTTATTGGGGGCATTGGGACTGCAGAGGGTAATGAGGATGAGAAAGAAGGGACAGCTTGGGAGACAGGTAGAAAGCAAACTCAGCTGTGCCCCAAATATGGTGAGAAAACAGCAGAGAGGGTGGCCATATCTGACCTTCCCCAACTTCCTGTTGCCAAGAGGCTGGGGTCTGATGTCCCTCCACCCTCCATCCTTCCTCACCCTCCTGTGACACCAACCATCCTCCCAGGGCTCTACTTCTCTGCTGGATTCATTCACTTGTTGCAACGGCCACACAGAACTCACAGACAACACTCACAATTAAGGGGGCTCAGGAAGGGAGTTAACAGGTGATTACAAGCCAGGATTAGTAACCAGTAAAGATACAGTAATTGGTCCACATCAGCACCTCTCCTCAGCCAGCAGCCAAGTCTCTCTCTCGGGGACTCAGACTCTCGGTCACATGGCCCTTGGCCTTTGACTCCCTGGACCAGGAGGCCAACTCACTGATCGACCCCAGAGCCTACGCAGTCTGTGCTGCTCTGTGTTTGGTTTTGGGGTCCGCTTGCCTCAACCGCTGATGCCTCTGGTCTTGGCCTACCGCCAGTTGAGACAGCAACCAGAGATCTCAAATGTGCTACACTGGTGGCTCTTCAAATGGTCCGGGAACTTCTCTCTTTTTCTGCCAAGACAGCTCATTCTTCTAAGCAGGGGAGTGGCAACTAAAATGGACCAGTCCCCTCTATTCGTGTTACACAGACCTTATTTGCAGAGTCCCACCCCATATCTAGGTGGGAATTACAGAAACACGGATAGAAGAGCCACATTAAGACGTTTCACTCCCTTACAAATGGGTAGGATAAAGCGGGGAGAGGCATCAAAGGCGACCTGAATCTTCCACATTTGGGTTAACTACTTTCTTTCGAGCCAGGCCTCCTTGGGTGGGGGAGCAGAAGATGAGAGTCAACAGTACTGGAGAAGCATGTAAGGAATCTGATTAAGAGGAAGAAGAAAATGCAGCTGGTGACTAAAGACGGTGCCTATAGGGCAGCAGGAACAGTGGAGGAGGTACAGGATGTGGAGTTTAGGGCATCCGTGAGACATCCAGCAAAGTGGAGTAATTTGGAATGTTGGCTTTAGGACACCCCAAGCGAGATTTTCACCCTGCCACTCTACAGCTAGGAAGTAGTGGACACATTGCTTTCCTACTCTCTGTGAGATGTGCTTAAGGTAATGCATGAAAAGTGCTTTGCAGCCCTCAGTCACATGGTCCCCATTGCCTTCCGGTCAAATTTGACTCACAGAGGCTCTGTAGGACACAGTAGAGCTGCCCTACAGAGTTTCCAAGCCTGTAAATGTTTACAGAAGCATACTTCCACATTCTTCTACCCTCAAGCATCCAGTGAGTTCCAAATGCCAACCTTCAATTCGCCTGGGTCTCCGGGCCCCCATAGATGTCTTCCCATGTGCAACACGACAAATGCACCTATTGCTGTTGTTAAGTGGAGACATCCTAGGTATGGCTGGAGCCCAAGAGAACTGAGGGTTAATGGTGCGGGTGTAAGACCCTGGAAGTGAGTGGGGCCACCAGAGAGATGAAGCCCCAAGTAGCACCACCGTGTTCTAGTTTATGGTCAAGGAAAAAGGGGAAGGGTGGCCCAGGCGGCTGAAAAGAAAACATTTCAGGGAGGAAAGCAGGTGAATGCAAATCCACAGAATCCAGAAGACGGAAAAGGGTGTGTTAGCAAAGGCAGGTGCTCCTGCAAGGTCACAAGGATCAAAACCAGACAGGGACCCAAGGCTTAGCCACCTGTAAGGTCATGGGTGAGCAACATAAGGGTAGTCACACCTAAAATGCAGTGAGCTGAGGAGTGGGAAGTATGGACTCTAGATGGGGGGAGGTGGGGGGTTGGCTCAAAAGAGAGGAAGAAAGGATGGTGGCTGATGGAGTAGGAGCTGGGGAAGAGGGAGGAGGGTGGGGCTACTTGAGGCTTCAGTCTGAGCAGTTTCTGAGCCCCAAAGAGGTACGTGAACATGGATGAGAAAAGTACGTCTTTATTTCACTAACATTCCCTCACAGTTAATCTCTCTTTCCTTTTGAATGTGAGCAATGAACCGCAGCAATGCCTTCAATACTTGGGGTGTTATTATTTAATGTGCTAATAAAGAAGAACATACATTATTATGCACCAGATATGTTTAATATCTTGAAAAATAGATTTCAACGTAATTGCGTTTTTAATCTATTGAAATACAGTTAACTATTTAAAATTTTTTTCGTCTGTTCAGTGGGTTGTGCAACCACCACCACTATCTAATTCCAGAACATTTTCATCACCCCCCAAAAAAACTCTGGGTCTCTTACCAATCATTCACCATTCCTTTCTCCCTCCAACTCCTAGCAATGATGAATCTGCTTTCTGTATCTGTGGATTTACCAATTCCAGATATTCCATATAGAATCTTACAATATGTGACATTGAGCCATATTTGTTCCTTCACCTAATATAATGTTATTCTATGTGCTGTATTTTAGTCATTTTTAAAGCTTTCTTAAAAAACAAAACAAAAAAGGTTCGTTGAGCCTTTTTCTGACTGCGAAGGCAGAGAAATAGGCTGGAGACACTGAGACATGGATCTCTCTGGGGAAGTGGGTGCCAGTGGATCCAAAACCCAATGGAGACTCTAGTCCAAGAGGAGAAGGTGCATCCGGAACAACAGCACACCAGGATGCCCTCCTGTGGGGACATCAGCCTGTGAAGACCCCGGCTCTGTCACACAGTATTATCTGCACAGCCCTTCTTGTCTGACCCTCATAACAAGGGTTAAATTGCAGCAAGCGGCTCTTATCTTCCCCAATCCCAGCCGTGCACTGGAAAGCAGCCAGGGATGGGGGGTTTCCTTGGATCACTTTTCTTTTCCTCTCAGATTCAAGTCTGTGGTCTCTAAAAGGTCCTCTCTCAAAACACAGTAAAAGGACAGTATTAATTATCTATGAATAATTACACAGAATACAAATGGATTAATTACACCAATCAAGAGGCAGCGATCAGAAGAATGGATAAAGAAACATGGCCCATCAATATGCTGCCAACAAGCAATAAAAATAAGCTAAAAGCCAAAGGATAGGAAAACACAAATCAAGCAAATGCTAGCCAATAAATACCAGGAGTGGTGATATTAATTTATGGTAAAATTGATTTTATGGCAAACACCTGCATGAGACAAGAAAGGGCATTCTAGAACAAAAACTTAATAAAGTTCTATACACCCAGGGAAAGAGCCAAAAAATTAAGCTTTAACAAAAAGTTAAAAGAGGAATAGATAACTCCAGAATAATAGTAGGAGACTTTTTTTGTTTTTTAACATTTTATTAGGGGCTCATACAACTGTCATCCCAATCCATACACACATCAATTGTGTAAAGCACATTTGTACATCGTTTCTCAAAACATTTTCTCTCCACTCAAACCCCCGACATTAGGTCCTCATTTTTCCCCTCCCTCCCGGCTCCCCCCTCCCGCATGAGCCCTTGATAGTTTATAAATGGGTATTTTGTCATATCTTGCCCTGTCCGACGTCTCCCTTCACCCACTTTTCGGTTGTCTGTCCCCCAGGGAGGAGGTCACACACAGTTCCATGTAATCGGTTCCCTCTTTCCTACCCATTCTCCCTTTACCCTCCCTGTTTTGCCACTCACACCACTGGTCCTATAGGGCTCATCCGTCCTGGATTCCCCGTATTTTCAGTTCCTATCTGTACCAGTGTACCTAATAGGAGACTTTTATATGACACTTTAGATGCAAGGCAGATTAACTAGAAAGAAACTCAGCAAAAATACAGAAGTTCTAAACAACACCAACGTGTTGGTGTTCTAAATTAATCAACTTAGCCTCATTGAAATATACAAAATACTTGACCCAGCCACGTAGGAGTGCTGGTAATATAGTGCTTTACAAGTTGGGGTGTGTGGTTTTATA